AGGGAGAGTGGAGGGAAATATGTGGCTGATTTGCCCCATTAAACTCTGAGCAGCTAGTGGAGAATGACATGTTAATAAACAACTGTTCATTTGCTCCATTCAGTGAATAAACGAGAGAAGGCCTGAGGAAAATGTGAGGGTAAAAAATAAACCTGGGACGGCTGCAGCAGAAAAGCAAAAACAATGGAATCTCAGAGCAATGATTCACTGGACTGTTAAGGAAAAAAAACTCTAAACTGTTGCTGTTGAATTTTGGTGGCGATGCAAAAATGTCTTATTTCAATTAGTTTAATTTTAAGTGTCTTAGTGACATCATATCATGGATGAGTCTTCATTTCAGAGCCCCAGTAGAGCTGTGGCTGCAATCTAGCTTACCAACATCATAGGAGACTGACTGAATATAATGTTAAAAGCTTTCCTCTTACTTGAAAAGGCCCTAAAATTACAGGCCATTTAACATGTCTATTACTTGATTTTTAATGAACTTTAAACAGAAATCCTTTTAAGTTCCAATTCATCTAACTTCCTGTGCTAATCTCGGTATCCTAACTCATCTGTTGTCACCTACTTAGGGGTTCAAATAGACTGTGCACTAATGTTTGATAGCCATGAAATCATAATTCTTCTATTATAGACATCTCTCTAAGATCAAGCCTTCCTTTTCTAGGCGTAAACTGGAACCAGTCATCTATGCTTTTATAATTTGCCAGCTGGATTATTGTAATTCTCTTTCATCAGAAATTATCCAGGGTATGTCATGGTAAATGGCCTGAACTTATATAGTGCTCTTTCAAGTCAGGAGACTTGACCAAAGCGCTTCACACTTAATTCAGTCACTCACCCATCCATGCACACATTCACACACTGATGGTGGCAAACTACATTGTAACCACAGCTGCCCTGTGGCTCACTGACAGAAGAAAGGCTGCTGTACACTAGTGCTCGATCATCTGACCACCATTAGCAGGGAATGCAGGTGAAGTGGATACAACAACACTGAAGGCAGGAGGCTTGCACTGACAACCCTTGCATTGCAGGACAAACTTCAGCATCAGACAAACTCCTGCATCTGTCACCCTTGGCTTCAACTTGTGCAAAATGGAACAGAGCAATTGGTACAAAGAAACAGGAGCGCGTCATGTGTTTTAGACAATAGTTTAAAGTTGTTTTTTTATGTTTTTAAGTCTCTTGGTGGCCAAGCATAACTATATGTGTCCAAACTGCTGAAAACCTGCCCAGTTTAACCCCCTTAGGTCCAGCAACTGGTTGCTAATAATGGTTACAACATCGCTGACAATGTGTTGCTTTTAAGGCGCTGTGCAAATTAATGTGGTGTGGTAATCTTTCAACTGTTTGCAGACTATTTTTTTGGAGGTGAGGTCTGATTAGTTTTCATCATTCCTGTTATGTGTTTGTCTAATGATGGTTTAAAGTGAATACATTTTGTTTTACCTCTGATCAGGATAAAATAAAAAAACAAATAAAGTTATAACGGAAACACAGGTGGGATCAACAGCTGCAGCAAACGTAACAAAATCGAATCCAAAATGCATGCATCACCTTTAATTTTTCTGCCTCGAAATTACCAGATTGCGGAGTACTGATAGAATGATCGCTTGCAAGTACGATCAAGTTAACACTTTTCTGACATCTAAAAATATTCCTAAGAGCTGATGTTCTACATGACAAACCTAAAGAGCAGACTGTGCAAAATTCAGAAAAACTGCTCTTTTTGAAAGTTCAACAATCACACAACAATAAAAATCCATGACTTTAATAGAAGCATACAATATATGCAAACATACCAATCAATACTCTGCAGAATGTTCTATGGAAAACATAATTCCATAAATGCCTTTTTCAACAAGTTGCAGAGAAACCACACACTTTTTAAAATAATAATACATTTTATTTTAGGGTTTATTTCTCAACACTCAAGGACACCATACAAAGATACACGAAAATGCATTAAAATAAACAACAATAAAGATCAATAAAATTAATAAAATAGACAGAGGCAATGGCAATATCAATAGGCCTCAGATAGAAAAGTTGTGATTTGAAATGGGGAGTGAGTCGATGTATCTTAGTTGGGACAGTAATGAATTCCATAGAAGGGGAGCAGAGCAGCTTAATGATTTGCTCTCCATGGTACTGATACAGGCAGAACAGGTGTATAGAGGAAGAGGATCTGAGGGAGCAGGAGCGAGTGGGAACATGGATAAGGTCAGTCAGATATGGGGGAGTGAGGTTGTGGGTGGACCTGAATGTTAGCAGCAGAACTTTGCATTGAATATGGCACTGAACTGGAACCCAGTGGAGCTGTTGGAGGACATGGGCTATGGGCAGCTGAATTCTGCACCAGTTGAAGTTTATGGAAGGATTTATGAAGGGTACAAAAGAAGAAAGAATTGTAAGGGAGAGGTGGAAGGAGATGATGTTTCGTAGGTGGAAGTAGGCAGACCTGGTAATGTTATTGATGTGGGATTGAAAGGATATGGTTCTTTCAAGGATGACGCCTAGACTCTTAACCTGGGGGGAAGGTGGAGTTATCAATTGTTAGAGTAAAGCTGTCGGTTTTAGATAAAGTGGAATTGTTGCCAATGAGAACCTCGGGTTGTGCTGCTGTTTAATTTAACCCTTTAAAGCCCGATCCAAGAATAAAACAAAAAAGAAAATTACTTTTTTTTTGGTTTGAAGTCCTTATTTGGCCTTTTAACTAAATATGTAAAAAGGAAAAACAGAAATACATTTTTGATATTAATACGTTATTACTATGCGATAAGTCAAGATTATTTTTTGTGTAGTCTTCTGCCCTCTGTTATCATGTATATCTGATTGTGTACAATAGGATTTTGAGCAAAGTTTTTACCATTAAATTATGCAAAAGGTGTCAGATGCAAAACATTTCAGAAACCGTATGTATCAAATATGATACATTTGGCATTATAGGGTTAAGAAAGTTTTGGGTGAACCAGGTTTTGACATCCAAGATGTAATCAGTGAGGAAGTTGGGCAGAGGAGTGGATGAGGGTTTAGTAGTGAGGTAGAGCTGAGTGTAATAAGCATTACAGTGGAAATGAATGTTAAATTTGCAAAAGATACTGCCAAGGGGAAGGAGGTGTATGATGAAGAGGAGGGGCCCCAGGTTTCAGTCCCTAATGTGACAGAGAAGGGAACGGATTTGAAGGACTTGAATGAACTGAGCGCAGCCAGAAAAGTAATGTGTAAACCGGTCTGATGAAGTATGGGTGGTGCCAATGGAAGATTGTCATAGCTCCTGTTAAGGAGGCAGGAGTGACAGATGGTATCCAAAGGCTGCACTCAGGACAAGAAGGATGATAAGGAGTCAAGAATCAGCTGCAATGAGGAGATCAGTGATTTTGTTGAGAGCTGCTTCAGTGCTATGGGGCGGAAACCGGACTGGAACTGTTCATACAGGTTATTGTGGGATAGGTGACAGTGGAGTTTGGACGCAACTGTTTTATCGAGGATTTTGGAGATGAAGGGTAGAGTAGAGATAGGATGGAAATTGTTTAAGTTAGACAGGTTGGTAGATTTTTATTTTTTTTTCAAATTTGGGGCAATGGCAGCAGTTCAGAAGGATGTAGGGACCGGTTCAGTGTTGAGAGACGAATGAATAATGGCAGAAATGAGGGGGACCAGAAAAGGGAGGCAGGCCTTAACAAATTGTCTGGGTAGGGGGTCCAGTTGACAAGTGGATTACTTGGATTTTTGGATTAATGAGTTCCCTGATTTCTGAGAGAGAGGGGAACTGAAAGGAGGTAAATGGGTGTGTGGATGTGAGAGTCAGCTGAGACGCTGAGGTGAGGGATTGATCCAAGGAGCTGGTTGGTTTTCTTGATAAAACTACTCTGACTCTTTAGAACTTGTTGGTTTTTTGTTATAGACAAGGTTCTCAAGCAGTTAATAGATTTTTAATGGGAAAGATCAGGGCCCTCTGAGGAAGTGTAATGTCAGTCTCCTTTATGGATTCCAAAACCTGAAACCTGGTGCGTTTGGGATTATTGTCATCCTGAACGCACTGAATGTGTGATCTGATGCAAACTGTCATCCTTCGATGAGAAGGAATTAAGTAGTTAATAAGAAACTCACAAATCCTCAAACATACTACTGTATTTAATATCATCTTCTAAATGGTTATTAAATACGTCAGAACTGGTTATGGAATAAATCAAGCAGGTTCTTAACTCACGCTTTCAAAAAAGATCAGATGATAAAAATTAAAAGAGATGGATTTATCTTTCCCTGTAGGAAAAAGGAGCAATTCTTCAATCAGAATTAAACAATGGATGTGTTAATGGTTGCAAATACGTAACCTTCAACTGAATGAGACTACTGCTTCCTAGATGAAAAAGGAACTTTTTTTCTTATCTTTTCTCCCAGCAGTTGTTGAGTGTTCGTTGCCATGAAAAAGCTCATTAGGTGTTTGTATCTCTGCTGGTTCTGCAGTCTTTTTATTGCTTGTACATTTCATGAGGTCATCCTACTCAGTTCTACTTCTTTGAGGATTCTATTCCTAATAATTGTACAGTATTTTTTTTATGGTGCAAATTTGACCAACTAGAGTCTCCTTTTCTGTTTTCGTACTCCTCAATACTTCAGTGGACCTGCATCTTCTTCCATCTGCTTTTTACTTGCATTTGGCACATGGGAAAGTGCTTTTTAAGAATTATGTCATATTGTATGATTCCACCTTTAAAAGATTAAGATCCTCCAACGCCTTTAAAAAACAATCCAGATTAATCGACATGCATGCCAATCATGGGTGCATATTAATGTCTGACCTATACTGTAAATATCAGATTCTGCAAGACTCAGCAGGGCAAAACATGAAGGTAATTTGTAAGATGGATTTTCCTATAAAGACACTGTTTAAATAAAGCTCATGACGCCCACTAGATGTCCAAACATGGTTACTCTGATTTAGTGCAGATAAGTAAGGAGTGTGTGGATTTCCAGAGACTTCAGACATGCACTTTAGTGTGCATAGGTTTTATTGACCAAAAATAGATGAAAACTGGATAAAAAGGCACAGGATAACTGTGTATCTACTGGGAGACAGAGGGAAAACTGTAAGAATGACAGAAAAGATGACTGATCAACGCAACACTGTTACAGGAAGAAACATACAAATGCAACCTGAACATTTTAGGGTTCATTACCGCTTGCAACATAACCAAATGTTGACATGTAAGTCATGACATATAAAATAGAGAACACAACAAAAAAGTATGCATAATAGGTGTCATACGGCAGGGCAACATGCCGTTGTTTGGTTATTTTTCCTTGTGGGCTGACCTTTCAGTTAACAGTCATTTTCTTTTTTTTTATATCCTGAACATCTATCTCTTCACACCAAGGTGGTCAGCTTGTCTATCAGATCATCAATAGTGTAGACCATAAGCTTGATGTCTTCCTTCTGTGACATGCGGTGCTGGCCGTTTCGCCTCAGAATGATGTCCACATCTGGGCTGAGGACACGCTCTGCGACCTGCATGGAGATGTGCCAGGGAACGTCCTCGTCTTTGAGGCCGTGAATGAGCCGTACGGGGCAGGTGATGGGGATGGGGCTCTGGAGCACACAGTGGTTTTCCGCCTCGCGCAAGAAGTCCATGCTGAATTTGTAAACGCCTTCCTCCGTGTGTTTGGTGGCGAGGGACCACTCCCCTTTGGCCTCTATCTCCTTGCGGGTCTGTGAGTTTAGTTATTAAAAGGTCACATTAACATACTAAAATAAAAAAAGGAGTTCTGAAACAATGCTTACAACCAGCAGGATTCAATGTTCCTACCTCTAGTGGAAGAGAGTTGAAAGCTGTGACAAAGTGATCGGCAGCTGATGCAATTCCAACCAGTGCAGCAGTCTTCTCTGGTCTTGCAATGGCTGCCAACAGCATGAGCCAGCCACCCAAACTGGAACCTACCAGTATCTGCAAGGAAGAAGCAAAAAAATATATAAAACAAAAATCATAAAATAACCATTTCATAAACACAAAGAAAACAGTCAACTGATGCAATATTACAGTGGTGATAAATTCTGGGATCATATGTGATAAAACACTGCCATCTTCTGGAGAAATTTGAAAACAAGAGGATGTTTTAAAAGGATGGTTGGTCCAAATAAAATAAAATACAAGAGTTGTCACGGAAAAAAACAAAGACCAGTGTTTTCGCACTTTTCCCCCACCTTCTATAATCTAAAGTGGAAAAATGTCCATGTACGTTTAAAAAAAATACAGTCTAGATAAGTTGAAAAGTTTAAAATTCAAAAGAAAATTTGATTTCTATAATTCAGATTTTCAATCGAAGGTGACAAAATAACGATTAAAATATATTAATCATAACTTTCAGACGTTGTGTCAACATTTTGTGGAGGTGCTTGTGTTTCTGTTGAGCGTCTATATTAAAAACCTATGAAGCTGAACATTAATTTAAGTGTCCAACAAAGCAGAAATCAGAGTTTTTGAATTGCGAAATTACAAAAAAAAAAATTCTTTTTTTTTAAAGGATTAGAAATATGTACCTGCGGTCCCTCTGTTAATTCATCCAAGACAAAAAGAACATCTTTTTTCCAGGTACCAATTGTTCCCTCAGCTAACACCCCCTCTGATGCTCCGTGTCCTGTGTAGTCAAACCTGCAGAGACACAAGAAATAGTGGTTAAGTTATGGCAAATCTTGAGCAAACACAGGCAATTTATGACATTTTTTTCTAATATTACCTAACACTCATTAAAAACAAATAGAGTAATTCCATACCTAAAGATTAAATGAAAAGAACTTTATCAGTCAGCATGGTTTACCTACAGGTTCACTGCTAAAAAATAGCAAGCATAAACTTAAAGGTTATTTTGAGAAAAGCAATTTATAAAAAGGTGAAACTTTTTCATCACATTTATTTAATCTGAATACATTGATAATGGCTTACAACCAAGAATAATCCAAAGCTCAACTTCTCATATAATCAAATTATATAAAATAAAAAGAGGTAGATTTTTAATTCAGGAATCTTATGTTATACCCTACAACACCATTGAACTGAAAACTGAGATAAAAACTCTGAGAATGGGGGCAACTTAGCACAATCTAACAAGACCAATTTATATGAATATAGGTTCAGAGATCATAACAGTGAAACTCCACAAATCCCATTGGATTGCTTCGCATAACGCGGTCATAAAACCAGAGACGAACAAAAGGAGATCTAGTCCAAGCAGTAAATCAATAATAGCTTAATGATTTGGACCAGATGTTTATATTCAGCATTGCAGGGTGAAATGTAAAAGTTATGGTGAAAGTTCAATGCTATAAATTAGATATTGACCGATGCTTTTTTAAATTCCAGTGCTAATAACGATAACTTTATCTGATTCTTGAAACGAGTGTTGCTTTTTTCTCCCTTCGTTCACAAGACAAAAATAACATAAAAATATAAAAACTAACATTTATTTTGTAAGTTTTTACTAAAAAATATACTTACAATAGCATTTTTTTTTTTTTTTTTTTTTTTTTAGCTTTTATGACATGAAACATTTTTTGATGAGCAGACTGACACCTCAGTAGTTCTGGAATAACGCATCTAAAATAATCTAAATTTCCGTTGGGTCCGAAGTTTCTGTGCCATTCAGCAGATGTGACGTCAACCGCGTCCATTTAAATGGATCAGACCTGGCTAACAATGAAATCGTTTAATTAAAGAAGGATTTTGTGGATACGCAGAAGCGACTGGCATCAAACTCATGTCAGATACCAATGGCAACTCCACATAAGGCGAAAAAATGAAGATAAAAAAATCCAGGCAAGTACGAGCACGTGCTATGAGAACAAGCAGAAAAGTGCTGCAGTTATGTGGTTTGGCCGCTTTAACAAACCATATAAAACTTTAAAAACGGATAACAACTGGAGGTAGTGGCTAAGCTTGGGCCTTTTGATCTCAAGATATGGCTGCTTAATGTAGTTATAAATTGGCCATCATGCACATATGGGCTGCTGCTGAAGCAAGAAAACAAAACAAAAAGTTCTAATAGCTCTAGCAAAATATTAATTATTCAATTGAATGCTACCCATTGTGATAATTGTGTTTCTATAAAGATATGAAGAACAATCTACAGAGTCGTTGAAGCCACAACAGAGTGGATTTCACTGCCAAAGTGTTTATACCTGCAGACAGGACAAAACCTGTTCAGTAGGCTAATGAAAACAAGAAATTAAATTACATTTTCTGGTTTTGTAGATGGAGGGAAGAAACGGTTAAAAAAAAAAAAGTTTGTAGAAACGTTGGAGGTCTACTCAATGTAGACTCTTACTCAAAATGTCAAACTGTTCCATGATTTAGGAATACTTTTGCTGGTTGCTATGTATGCAATCAGTTAAATCGAGTCTGTGGACCGAGGTGCTGTAAGTTCCTTTAAATCAATGCCTGCAATCCACACTTACTCCTAGAAAACAACCTAGGCCGGAGAAAGGGTCAACCTCTACATTTGTTATGTATTTTTTTTTTTTCTGTAATAAATTTTTACTCACACTTATCATTCCTGTGTCAAGCTGATTTTTTTAGAAGGATATCTGAGCAATTAAAATGAGTTCTATTTTATTTTAACTTTTCCCCTTTAATCCATAAGGTTGAGCAAGTATAACCAGTCTAGATAACCAGGTGGAGTAGTTGTAGATAACGAAAAAAGGTATACTGTGTTAAAAAGAAGACTCAAGATACCCTGTTACCCATTCCCATGTTTTGAAATAACTATTTTCATAATAATATGAAAACACTGTCTAAAATTACAAAAAAAGAGGATTTATTTGAACCTTTTAAATTGTACGGTATTTATAGCTCTCATCTTGGATTTATAGATAGTGAATATTGTAAAAGCAGTTGATATTTTATACTGCATAGAACCAAAGTGTATTCTTGATACATAATTTATTGGCTTAATCATGATTAATTTATTATTGAAATAATGGTCAACTAATTTAGTAATCGATTAATTGGAAACAGCATTATAGAGACTCTTAAACATGCCTTTAGCTGACAGTGACCCACCTTGAGCAGCAATTATATAAAAAAAAAATATGTTAACATTTTGCATTTAACATAAAAATATTTTTCAGCTATTAATCTGCTATATGCATAAATCCTCAAGTGGAAACGTTTTTTGTTTCACCTGGTTTATCTGAGCAAAAAGGTTCTTTAAGGAACCTTCGGCTGTCTGATTAAATCGCTAAAATAATCGACAGATTAATCGATTTTCAAAATAATCGTTTGTTGCGACCCTATATAATTTGTTTCGATCTATTAAACACTCACTGCTGGGTTTGGGTGACTTACCTGAGGTAGGAGTGTCCTAACGACCTGCAGAACTCCTCCAGTGCCTCAGCTTTCTGTCCATTCATGTTGGAGCCATAGCCAGGCAGGAACACCACCCCTGGACTCTTCCCCTTCACCCTCCTGTAGGCCAGCTTTGGAAGATCTGCTCTGGATGCATACTGAACTGTAGATTTGTGTCTTCTGTTGGCTACAGGACACAAAGTTTTCAGTTATAACTCCAGAAAGGTTCCCAGACTTTAATGTGAACAGATGTGGCAACAACCTGCCCCAACAGCAAATAACTGACACTGAAGTGTAAACTGCCAGACGGACATGTTTATTAAAATTAGCTACGTTTGGTTTCATTTCAGCACGCCGAACTGAAGCTGACTAACGCATAACGTGGTCAAATAATGATTTAATATATCTAGGTAGCGCTAGAAAATGTAATAAAAATAAAAGAAAGTCATGGTTGTAGTAGGAAGATGTACAGCACGCCTTTTAGCTTACATTCTCTGCGTTTTAAAGAACGTCACAGTCGCCACACCCCCTCTTATTTATTGTAATTATTCCGCCAAACGTTTGAGGGTTGTGAAATTACTGTTGTCAGGAGAGAATCATCATACACACCTTGTAAGTGCTGTGAAGGCAGGGCTACAATCCCTGCATTTCTGAACATTTGTGAAAGTCCTCTGCGGCAGGACCTCAGCGACACGGCTGCCATACTGTTCCGCGAACACTAACGAAGTAACGCGAGATGAACTGAGGCAACTCTCGTTTGCTTTTTAGCTCAAGGCAGGACTCCGCAACATTCAGAAGACGCACGCGGGGGAATAGTGTCCCTTTGTGGAAAGCCAAGAATGCCACCGTAGTAAACAACCCATAGAATAAATAATGGTTGGTTAGGCTGCTTCTTCTTTTTTTTATTGGCGGATGGCAACCAACTTAAGGTGCATTTACCGCCACCTATCAGACTGGAGTGTGGTCTGGTTAGGCAGCTTGTGAAAATATTTACAATTATTGTATTTTTTTAGAAATAGCAAATAGTTTCAGTTCAGTGTTTTTAATGTAAAGATGTGTAAAAAAAGATTTAAAGTTGTGAAAATGTTTTATTGCAGTATAAAAATCCAACTGAAGAACAGTTTGACAGGCTACTTTTTTATATTTTTAAATGTTACATTGACTCCTTTAAAAAATGTGTCTCATAAAAGGAAGAATTTGAACAGAATAGTATGAGGGATACAGGAGCAGCATTTAACATTGAAATAAAATGAGGTGCTTATGCATCCATGTTATACATTGACTTTTAAAATAAAATAAATATTCAATACCATTTAATAATCTAAAGAGTTTTTTTTTTTTTTTAAGTAGGGTACAACAATTTTTCAGTTTGCTATATGGTCAATTTCCTTATTCATATATTATATATTTATAAAACACCTGAACTGACCATTTGTTTATTTATTTTTTATGGCCTAATGAGAGAAGTGGGCTTTACGCTGCCTTGCGAGTAGGGGTGTAAATAATAATCGTTTTGTATCGATGCATCGATCCAAAAGCCGACGATCCGATGCTTCGACACGTCCGCAAGATAATCGATTCATGTTTTTTTTTCCTCTGGTCTATTTTTATCCATTTGCTCCTGGGCGTAATTCTCCCTCCCGTGCTGCGGTGCCGCTAAACCTATTTTGCCCTCCTACCGCGCTTCCTGGTTATACTCTTACAGCAGTTTGTTGCAGCGAGCTTCACACAGACATTTTTAAATTATGCTCAGTATTGAAGCGTGGTCTGTGCTACACACTGTAGGTCTAGATACGGCCGAGGCGGTGAGGAAGTGGGGACGAGTTTAGTCCGACGACGAAGGGACATGAGGGCAAAAAGAGCGGAGATTCAGCTGGAAAAAGGGTCCCAGCGGTCTCGCGCACCTCGCTCTTCTAGCGGGTCAAACTTCACGAGTTGTTTTCTGCAATTTCGGTCATAAAAACAAAACAAGCCGGCCTCCTGTCTGGTGCACTGTTTGCGGTCAGCTACAATCTGGGGGAGGAGCAGCGGAGCGTCTCTCAAGGGGGCGGTGACGTCAACACTCTGAAGCCTTCTTCTTCTTCTTTTTTTAATGGCGGTTGGCAAACAACTTATAGGTGCATTACCGCCACCTTCCAGAATGGAGTATGGACCAGAAAAACTATTATATTCTCCCTAAAATACCCGTTCTTCTTAGAAAATTAAAAATACTACCAAAACTACATCCCCAGATGACCTTTGAAACAATTCCCTTATATGTAGTTTATTTTTATTCCTGTCTAACTCTCTAAGCAACATCTCTCTTTCCTGAGTATATTTATTACATTCTAAAAAAATATGTTGGACAGTTTCTCTGGAGCCGAGGTATTGCATTGAACTTATTACACTGATATTGTGCAGTATTTTTGCAGTATTTTTTGATGCAACTTTTCTACTTCTGTTATTTGCTGTTGTTTCTAAAGAAAATGCATAATGATATTACAGCTTTCATTGATTTATTTCAAACTTGAAACTTTGTTTAGCCTGTAAGGTGTAAAAAAAAAATAATAATAATAAAAAAAAAAACGATTAATCGATTAATCGAATCGAATCGTGGTGTATTCTTGAGTATCAAAAATAATCGAATCGTTGGGTCAGGAAATCGATACTGAATCGAATCGCCATGATGGATGTGATTTACACCCCTACTTGCGAGGCTTTTAAAATCTAAATTTGAATTGCACCATTCTCAAGCACATATCAAGGTGCTCATCAGGGGCGGAGCTAGATGGGGGGGCCACCCTTAGGCAATCATTGGCCACCCCTACCATTTCCCCCCCTCTAATACAGATGGTGGCAGCAGCAATACTCTCAAGTGTAATATTCAAAGCCTTTTAATTTTTTGTGGTTAATATTGCACATCAATATACTAACATCAACGATGATAAGTAGGGAAGTAATGCTCTTTTCAGAACTAGATTTTGTGTTATATGTGGTAAAGAGAAAATTATATGTCTCTACAAGTCATCTAGGAGTCTTCAGTGAAATCATAGATAGATAACAATTTTTATCAAAACTTATCAAATAATCAATTTATTTAGTTATTAGTGCTTATAAATATACATTTTATGAAGAATGTTTATTGATACAAATAGGTAAGTAATGACAATGGAAAAGATTTACGACCCAGAACTCAAAACTAAAAGAGTTTTATACACTATACATTTTATCTAAAAATTACAGATGTTTACATACAGTGGGGCAAAAAAGTATTTAGTCAGCCACCAATAGTCCAAGTTCAAATAGGTGCCATTAATGAAGGTAACGAGTGGAGGACAGAGGAGCCTCTTACAGAAGAAGTTACAGGTCTGTGAGAGCCAGAAATCTTGCTTGTTTGTAACTGACCAAATACTTATTTTCCACCATATTTTGCAAATAAATTCTTTAAAAATCAGACAATGTGATTTTCTGGATTTTTTTTTCTCATTTTGTCTCTCATAGTTGAGGTATATCTATGATGAACATTACCGGCCTCTCTCATCTTTTTAAGTGGGAGAACTTGCACTATTGGTGGCTGACTAAATACTTTTTTGCCCCAATATATATGTGTCTATTTGTTAGAAAAAGGCTGTAGGAAAGTATAGTTTGTCTTTATTTAGAAAATATGGATTTTTTTGCTTGTTAATTTTCCTGTTGCAATAGTGTAGATTGACCCTGATGTTCTTCTGTCTATCCACTTTCGGCCACCCCTCAGTGTACATTGGTTATTGCTTGGTCACCCTTATAAATATTTTCTGGCTACGTCTCTGGTGCTCATTCGTGAGCCTGGACTGATATGTATTTTTGATTATGTTCATGGTGGGGAATCCTGCTTCACAGCAGTAGGTTGAGCCAAACATACTCATATATATACACTCACCGGCCACTTTATTAGGTACCCCATGCTAGTAACGGGTTGGACCCTCTTTTGCCTTCAGAACTGCCTCAATTCTTCGTGGCATAGATTCAACAAGGTGCGGGAAGCATTCCTCAGGGAGTTTGGTCCATATTGACATGATGGCATCACACAGTTGCTGCAGATTTGTCGGCTGCACATCCATGATGCTAATCTCCCGTTCCACCACATCCCAAAGATGCTCTATTGGATTGAGATCTGGTGACTGTGGAGGCCATTTGAGTACAGTGAACTCATTGTCATGTTCAAGAAACCAATCTGAGATGATTCCAGCTTTATGACATGGCGCATTATCCTGCTGAAAGTAGCCATCAGAAGTTGGGTACATTGTGGTCATAAAGGGATGGACATGGTCAGCAACAATACTCAGGTAGGCTGTGGCGTTGCAACGATGCTCAATTGGTACCAAGGGGGCCCAAAGTGTGCCAAGAAAATATTCCCCACACCATGACACCACCACCACCAGCCTGCACCGTTGATACAAGGCAGGATGGATCCATGCTTTCATGTTGTAGACGCCAAATTCTGACCCTACCATCTGAATGTTGCAGCAGAAATCGAGACTCATCAGACCAGACAACGTTTTTCCAATCTTCTATTGTCCAATTTCGATGAGCTTGTGCAAATTGTAGCCTCAGTTTCCTGTTCTTAGCTGAAAGGAGTGGCACCCAGTGTGGTCTTCTGCTGCTGTAGCCCATCTGCCTCAAAGTTCGACTTACTGTGCGTTCAGAGATGCTCTTCTGCCCACCTTGGTTGTAACAGGTGGTTATTTGAGTCACTGTTGCCCTTCTATCGGCTCGAACCAGTCTGGCCATTCTCCTCTGACCTCTGGCATCAACCAGGCATTTCCGCCCACAGAACTGCCGCTCACTGGATGTTTTTTCTTTTTCGGACCATTCTCTGTAAACCCTAGAGATGGTTGTGCGTGAAAATCCCAGTAGATCAGCAGTTTCTGAAATACTCAGACCAGCCCTTCTGGCACCAACAATCATGCTACGTTCAAAGTCACTCAAAACACCTTTCTTCCCCATACTGATGCTCGGTTTGAACTGCAGGAGATTGTCTTGATCATGTCTACATGCCTAAATGCACAGAGTTGCCGCCATGTGATTGGCTGCTTAGAAATTAAGTGTTAATGAGCCGTTGGACAGGTGTACCTAATAAAGTGGCCGGTGAGTATATATATATGTATATATATATATATATTAGTGCTGTCAAAATTATCGCGTTATTATCGCGTTAACGCGAGGCCATTTTAACGGCGATAATTTTTTTAACGTGAGATTAACGCTATGTGGTTTTATGGTAAAATTTTCCAAGTACATCCCGCTGCAGCCTGCGGGGAGGCGGGGCTATTTTCCCCCAGTCTATGCATTTCTCATAGGCTTCAAGAGCGGAGCTCCTCAAGGAAAAAAGACGCTCATACACTGGGTGACGCTAGTGCCTTTTCTTTAAGCCCCACCACCAACAAACAAGTTGAGTGTCTGGTAACTAGTAGCAACCTGAAATACGCTGAGAAAACAGATTACTGAGGTGAAATGGAATCTGCTACGGCACTCTTGCTGTCACAGGTCGGTATCGTGTGTGTGTGTGGGTGGGTGTGTCTGTGTGTGGGTGGGTGGGTGCTTGTGTGTGTGTTCTCATTTTTGTTAATAGTCTGAAAAGTAACTTTCATAGACTACCTCCATCTAGTGATGTCGGTCTATTGATTTTGATGTATTGATTGAAAATTGTTCATTATTATCTTGGTTAATTAACATCTAATGTTAACTGTACTACATTTTATAGCAGCAGGGTAAAATGCTTGTCTTTGTTCAAAAGACTGTATTAACTGTA